TAACAAAATGAATTTCATTGAACTGAAGCAATAAGCCATTAGTATCACCTATATCCATTTCTTTCTTGCCGTCGTATTCGAAATCTATTTACTTGAATATCAGTCGCATAAATGATACTGAAATAAATGCTCACTCAATTCATCATCTATATTTCATTAGCGTTGTCTCTGTTTATCAAGTTGAACGAAATAATTCATTGGCGTTCCAACAGCTCTCTAGTTGAACTGCTCACTCAGCCAGTCATAAAAACGTTGTTTGATTTCAAGTGCGGCATGATCAAACTGAGAAAAATGGGATGGGTTAGTACTGACCCCTTCTCACTGTTCTGAGAACCCTGAATCTCCATTGCACATGACTCATTGTATTAATTTTGACGGTTTTCGCTCAATACCTGTAAAGGATCCTAACTGAGTGTGTAATGGATTGACGTCCAGTAATAGGGTGACGCGCAGAAAACGAACTCCCAAGTTCAGGCAAATACAATACGAGTTCGGTAATCTACGTGTACTAGATACGGATATACAGGCAATATGTACAACATACCTCGAGTTATGAGGAATGCGGCTCAGAAACCAGGCAGGTCAAATCAAAATAGCACGGGATACCGAGTCAAGCCACTCTCTAAGCAACGTCAAACCAAAGAATACAGAACATCAAGGGAAATGAAGTATTAAACAGGGCCAAACCGACTAATCAGAGCCACTCAGTTTCGGGGTGTTCTGTTTGTCATACAGATAGAGATTCGGCAATAGATACGGGGTAAACAAGAGCGTACAGAACTAGGCGATGTTGATAAAACGGGATTTCACAGACAAGCGGAGAAATCGGTACGGCACAATGGTAATAAATTTAATACGGGATGAGTAATGTTCACTTGTATAGAAAAAAGGTTGGGCACGGTTCACAAGAGGCCACACGGAACAGATTTGCTGGTATCAATTTCACTAAATGCATCATGCTGTGAAGACCAAATTTGTCCTCAAGGTGGAGGAGAGGGAGGGATGAATACGGCGGGAATAATGCTCGAAGGCTGACAGTTATGGGGAAATGGGATATATCATATCATATCAAGCTGTATTCTAATAAAGTCACAAATGCTGACAGCTATGGGTGAACAGATATCATCGTGTCTATCGAAGCGTCTCAAATGGGTCGAGGTCAAGTGGTTTGCTATGGAGTGAATATGCAATGGTCTGGGGTTGGTGATTAAAGGTGATCTAAACAACAAATGCATCCACTAAACGCGGGTTCGGGGTGAAACGGAGGGTGGGGTGTGTGTGTGTGTACAAAATTGAATTAACTGGCTTGTTGATTTTTCCAAACTCGTTGAGCTTTACAGAATATTTATTTAAGGAGACGTATAAGATGCTGTTGTTCGGCTGGT